CTTTCTCAACTTTCCCTGAACTTCACGGGAAAAACAAGCAACTTTTTTATGAACAACTTCCGCTGTACAAAATCAACAGCAAGTTGCATCAAAGGGCACTGAAGACAAACAGTATCAAGCCATCATTGAACGAGTTATCCGTATAATAAAGTCTGTTCGAAGTGTATTGATTGCGGTAATTGATAGGGCGAGAGGCGTCTGGCAACAGCTAAAGCATAAAATATGCAATTGATTGATGACACTAGCCAAACAGAGCGCCGGCCAATAGAGCAGGGGCCAAGAGAAAAAGTAGCTAACAGAACGGATAGCCAGCAGAACGTAGACCAACATAACACTGGAGAACAAAAGGCAGGCTAACAGAACGTTGAGTAACAGAACATAGGCTAACAGAGGAGTAGCTAACAGAGTACGTGCTAACAGACGACAGGCTAACGTAATAGAACTTAACAGAACACAAGCTAACAGAACACACTGTAACAGAGCACAGGCTAACAGATGGCATGCTAACAGAGCACATGTTAACACAGCATAGATTAACAGAACACAGGCTAACAGAACACACTATAACAGAACACAGGCTAACAGATGGCATGTTAACAGAGCACATGTTAACAGTGCATAGATTAACAGAACACAGGCTAACAGAACGCACTATAACAGAGCACAAACTAACAGGTGGCTTGCTAACAGAGCATAGATTAACAGATCACAGGCTAGCATAAAAGAACTTAATATAACAGAGGCTATCAGAACACAGGCTAACAGAGCACACGATAACAGAACAGAGGCTAACGGAAAACAGGCAAACAGAAAACCAAAATTGGTCAGAAAATTTCATACAACATAGATTTTGGGCACCTTTCAGATTATATCACATATATAAAATATATTTTAATGGCATATACATATATATTTTAATAGAAATTTTTACTTGGTTCGAATAAGCTGAAGGCATCACAAAGACTCTGATACAGTCTCACTCGAATGCAGCATAGCTCTTAGAGCTCAAACCTGTTGACATGTGTAATTGTTTCCACTACTCAAGCAAAACGTCTCTCAGGTCTCCATAAAAACAAATGGATTCCCCTATGTAATTGTATTTTCTGAGCTATTCAAAGCCGAACGCAATAGTTAGGCAAACAAAATAACATAATTTGAGCAAAATCAATATACGAATCCCAAAAACCAAATGAGGCGCCGACCTTTGCGTTTAGCCAATCTCGTCTGGCAGATCGTCTATGCATGAAACGGACATTCGACCATTCAGAGTCGAGTCGAGTCGAGGCGAGGCGAGTGAAATTAGCGGGCGCAATGTCTGTGGCCAAATGACAGCGACAACGTGAAAAATTATGGCTAATGGCGGAGCAAGGCGTAATCAGCCGCCATCCACACGAAATGAAATGGATCGAAATGGAATGTTCAGAAACAACGCCGAGTGCACGGGCGTTTGACATGCGTGGGCGAGTGAGCACGTGGGCGTGTGGGTGGGGCTTTGAGTGCATTGGGGGCATTGGGGGCCGTGCAGCATGCAACACATGCCAAACTAAAAACAGCAGCACGAACAACAGCAGCGGGAGTAATGGGAATTGAGAAATGAGAAACGACTAAGCTGCATAAGCATTACCTGCCACAGCCAGTGCCCGTACCGGGACCGCTGCAGCTGTTGTTGCCACAGCCGCTGCCCACACGCAACTCCATTTTAGCAATTTACAATTCAATGTGCCTGCATTCGAGCCACAAATATCAATCCCAGTCGCCAGTGGGCACTGCGCTCCCGCCCTAGCCGAATCGGGTCTCTGCTCTGCACTGCTCTCCCGCCCGTCGGCCCACAAGTAAGCCAAATTTAACAAGCAATAAACCAATTTTTATACATAAAAAGCCAACTGGAGCATATTTTCAATGTTTAACTCGAATCCCAATAGGTCAAACGAACTTACGGGCCAATAACAAAGCTCAACATGCGACACGAACCCAGATAACAACGTATGTGTGTATGTATTTCGGGGGCAAGCAAAAGACAAAATAAAACATGGGATGACGAAGCCAATAATACTCTATATCATGTTAATATGCTTATAATTTGCATTCATAGTTTAGTTGTGGCCTTACTTGATATACCTATACCTAATCGTCTTATGAGTTTAGATACAACGAGTTCGATTATCTATGCTATAAATTTAACTAAAGTCAATTATAAAGCGAATTAAGGCTGTAGGCTTAATCAAAGTGTAAGGCGGACTAAAGCTGTCAGGCAATCAATAATTTTTGTAATTCGAGGCACGAACAATTTGCGCTGTATTTTGACAATTCTCTAAGTAACAAACAAGGAAGAATGCATTTCAGTTGGCAGTGACCGACGCGCGGATACCCGGTACTTTAGACAGAGCTGTAACTCTAACCATTCTATGCTGCTACTATGCACACATACATATATACACACAAGCGCTCCGCTCTGCTCTACTGCGCAGCGACTGCGCTCGCAAATGGGAAATTATTGAAAAACTTTTCTTCTAGATCAATTTTCATTATTAAATTTTCAGAGTACTTATCATAATATTTACGGTGTGTGTATGTGCTAAAGCACAAGTCTTTAAAATTTGAAATACGCTTATCGATTATCATCTTTTAAAGGAAGTGGGATCAGTTATCGGGAAAAGCTTGAAGCTCATACTGCTTACTACGAATAGATATACACATTAAAACTGTTTAGAACGTGATAAGGATAACCAGATCATGACTTTAGTAATTGAAATGCGCTTATCGATAATTATCGATAATTATGAAGTTAATGGAATTATCGAAAAAGTGATAAATATATATGTTATATACGCATTCACGAGATCGATGCTTTCATATAGACGGACAGACAGATAGTCAGACGAGCGGATGGATGGACGAACGGATAGCCTCACTGACGAACATGCCTAGGCCAAGTCAACTCCATGCCCTTATCATTCATATATGTACGTATGTACCACCCTATGGCATCTACATTCACTTCCAGGGAACCAATATACCCTCAGCGCGCACTTTCAATGGGTTGAGGGCATAAAAGAGCAAATAAAATTTAATCGAATTTAGGTTTAAGTACACTTTATATTATTTGGATGGCCCTAAGAAGCTTTCAGCTCAGATCGATGCTAAAATAGAAATAACATTATGGAAAAACGCGATAATAAAGCTCAAGAGGTCAAGGCTCAAGGCTCAAGTCTGAGTCGGACTTATTTAGCGTGAGCTATCAATATATTTCGAGTTACTCTCAGCGAACACCTAAATATACTAAATAACGATTTCGCACTCAACTTTTTGCATTTAAGTTCTTTAAATTTGAGCACCTCAGTGGAATTTCGCTTTAATGTGCATTTAAGGCGCCTCTGGACGGTGGGCGAAGGTTTCTGTGTGTGTGGGAGCTGGGAGTAATAATATCTTTCAATTGTGCGACGTGCGCAAAATAAAAAACAATTACTTAAATTTTATTTACATTTATTGTGAAATCTTTTGGGCCGAGTTTATTTTGCAACATGCTCAGCCAACGGAATGCCAAGGGAATTGCTCAATTGGCGCAGCTACCTAGATTCGCTTTCGCTCTCGCTCTTGCTCTCCCTCTTTCTCTCTCCCGCCCGCTCTCCATTTCTCCGTATCGCCACTTTTCCTATATTTATCATTTCCATAAAATTTGCATGTTTATTTGTGGGCGGACTCATTGAACCATGGTCAAAAGCGGCGATGCGGCGGCGTAGCTAAATTTAATTTTGTTGCTTTGTTAATGAGCTTGGCTTGTTTAGCAATTTCGGCCACGCTCAGCTAATGGGTTGCCGCTGAAACAGCAACAACAACAACAACAACAACAACAGCAACAGCAACAACAACCCAACGCATTTCCTTTTGGACCACGAAAAAACAGTTGCGACGGCTGCAAACACCAAAGTCGCTCTCGGCACACGGCCTTAATCCCTTGTGCCAATTCTCCAACCCAACTAGTTACTCTCCCACACATACACACACACACACACACATGCACACATACACAGTCGTGTCACTGTTTGCTTTCTATCTGCATGCCAACGAATGCAAAGCGGCTTCTGATGTAACGTAAAAGCCTAATTTTGTATACCTACATACATATATACACACCCACACACACACACACACACATACATATACATGTATACATGTATTTTCTTACTTTGTGTTTTTTTGATTTTGCACGTAAGTCAACAGACAGAAACACGCCCCCTCGCTACCCTCTGCTCTTTGACTGGCTCATCAGCAGCAGCAGCAGCATCAGTCGTAGGAGGAGGGGGAGGAGGAGCAACACCATCAGCAGGTAGTTCAAATTGAGTAGTCCTATACCAACTAGGCATTGGCAATGATGAATGCTGCATGTTTGGGCAAGAGCTGAAGGTGGCTTGACTTCATTATGACGGGGCAGACGGCAGGGGGCAGGGGGCAGGCGGCATGCAAATAACGTTAGCGCGTGCCAACATTTGGCCATTATCATTATCGTTGGCCGTGCTCAAATGGATCACATTTGTTATGCCCAGCAGCCGGCAGCCGGCAACCCGCAGAACGCAAACCTAGTTAGAGTCGGCATAAATTAGCATTTTAATGTGAACTGAGCTTAAAAAAAAAAAAAAAAAACCAACTCGCGTTTCGTGAGAGTGAAAATTGAAAATTTTTGAGCTGGTTGAATATTTTTATTTAGTCAAATGAACTATGGAGCTGAAGCTGTGAATGATTCTAATAGACAAATGAACTATGAGCTGCGGCAGTGATGACTTATCGATGAGAGACAAGATAGCTATCGATATTTGTAGTTCAAATGAACTATGATTTTCGAAAGTCCCTCACTCTGACTCTTATCGATGGCAGACGTGGCAAATATCGATATATTTATTTGAACTTTCTTCATTGATATCGTCGCGCTTTCGCATTTCGTAAATCAAGACAGGTTTCTTTTTCCTTTAAGATCAAATAAATCGCTCTTCTTCTTGTTGCAGCCGCCTCTGTGGCCGTCTCCTCGTGGACTCTGGTGGCGATATCCTGCGAGCGCTACTACGCCATTTGCCATCCGCTCCGGTCGCGCACCTGGCAGACGATCAACCATGCCAACAAGATCATCGCTTTCATCTGGCTGGGCAGCCTGGTCTGCATGACGCCCATTGCGGTATTTAGCCAGCTGATGCCCACCAGTCGCCAGGGTGAGTAAGCCGTGCGCCTGCTCTGGCCTCGTCTCTTAGCCATTGATATGTATGTACATATATTTGACAGGCTTGCGCAAGTGCCGCGAGCAGTGGCCCGTCGGCTCTTTGGGCTATGAGCGCGCCTATAATATCTTCCTGGACCTGGCGCTGCTGGTGCTGCCGCTGCTCGCCCTGAGCTTTGCCTACATGTTCATCACGCGCACGCTCTATGTGAGCATGCGCAACGAGCGCGCCATGAACTTTGGCAGCAGCGGCCCCGACGTCGGCCTGACCACCAGCAGCAGCAGCAACAACAACAGCTGCAGCGGCAGCCGTCGCACCTTCGGCAGCTCCAACTATCTAATGCGCATGCAGATGCGCCAGGAGGCGCTGGCCGCCGACAGCGCTGCCCAGCTGGACATGTTGCTACAGCAGCAGCAGCAGCAGCAACAGCAGCAACAACAATGTGGAGCAAACCAATATTATTATGGTGAGTCAAAGGCAGCTAGCACGCTGTGTCTTTCTCTCTCTCTCTCTCTCTCTCTCTCTCTTACTCACAGTGTGTGGCTGTTGAAAGTCAGCGCACGACAGCTTCAATTGCCTGACTGTGCCGCAGTTTCCTGTTCGCCAACGCTGCTAAAGTATTTCCTGCTCATTCACGCTGCCGCGCCCACTCGCCCACGCACGCCCACACACACACACACACACACTGGCAATTTGCATGGAAAAATCAGCCGGGCGTAAAATGTGATTCAACATCCTACTTTAGCTCTGCCGCATGGCTAACTAACCGCGTCACTCATACGCCGCATCGGCCGCTCTCTAAGTGTGTGTGTGTGTGTGTGTGGCGATAAATCGGCTGCCGTTGAATTCAATTTGATTTCGAGCATTTGATAAATTCAAGTGAGCCACTCAAATGGCCTTTCATTCGCAACGATATTGCAGAGCTTTAAATGCTTGAACTATAAAACGTGCCGCACATTAAGCTGCAGCTTAACCAATATTGCCTAACTGTTTGCCATTTGAATTTTCGACACTCTACCACTCGCCCTCACCCTCTCTCTCTCTCTCTCTCTCTCTCTCTGTCTGACGCTCTTGTTAGCTGTCAATCAATTAAGATTTAAAACCTACTTAGAGTGGCCTCATAAACCTAAAACATTTCATAGTTCGTCAGGCTCTCGACTCGGCTCGACTCGACTCAGTCTCTCTGTGCGTCTCAGTCAACATTATTCGCGTTAATTAGAAGTTTGTTTAGTTATATGTGTGTGTGTGCGTGTGTGCCAATAAAATGTAATGCGCTTAGTTCTTTTTCAGCGGACGCCCGAAAGTATGCCCCGCCCCAAATACAGCTCCGCTCTCGGCTGCTCTTTAAATGAGGTAAACTGAAATCGCATATTAGCATAAAGTTGCGTTGCGCTGCGCTGCGGGAGAGGAGCTCAGGCCCAAGTTAATGAATTATCATGGACGGGCTGTGGCCGTAAAAGGATGCCGCTGTCAAGTTTGAAGTCGCAGTTCCATTTCCGCTTCCGCATTTTAAACGGGCTTCCAAACGGACGAAAGGGCCAAAGCAAATATCGTAATTTATGCTGGGGTCGAGCATTTAAACGCTCGTTAAATGCCCGGTTATCTCCTTTATCGACCCAAAAGTCCCAGCGCAAATTAGTGCGACCAGATTGCTGGCTATGCCCGGCACATGGTGACACATTCTCACATGACACACACACACACACACGCACACAGAGCACATGACCGCAAAGAGCACCTTGAACAGAGACAGAGAGAGAGGGTGAGAGGGAGAAGGGGAGAGAGACAAACGCTTCGCCAGTTGATGATATATTTTTATTAAAGTTCATTTTTTATTTTATTTTTTAAACCTATCCAATTTACGGCCAGCACTTAACATTTTTGTGTCATAAATTTGGGAGGCAACACTGGCAGCCAGCCACTGGAGTCCTGGCCCGGGTCGAGTCCCGGCCGGAGGAGGTGGCGCAAATGTTTTATTACACTCAACGCAGAGCTTTGGCGCGCTCGTACGTAATTTGCATAACCAAGTCTAATATAATTAGAGCCCTAAACTCGTAATATTCGCCGTTGCTGCGCCGCTCATTAAAGCCTTGCAACGGGTAGCCACAATTTAGTCGCCTTTCCAGCTGAGCTCAGCTCTAGCTCATGTCTCACACATGCAGTTGCCCTTTTAGTGAGGAGTATCTCACGTTCATCACATGCGATTCAACGCTCAAAATTTTTGTCGTGTTTTAATTACCCAACCAAAGACTCAGCTGCCCAAGTTAGATATATATTATTCATTGGCAATGGGAAAAGATGAATTCTTAATCTGTTTCTCAACTTGGTAAGCTCTTGCGCTTAATGAACAAGTCAGCCGGGCGTTGCCGACTGCATGATACTCATTCGCGGTCCGCAAACAAGGGAGTGAGGAGGGAGACAGCACTTTAATTGTCCCATATCTTAACTCCAGCTGCTAAACAGCTTTACCTGATCTGCCACGCCTTCAGTGAGCGTGGGTAGTCATTTTCGGCTAGTTCTTAGAAGGAAGTCTGTCGTTAGTAGCGACAAAGTTGTTCGCTGGACAGAAGAGCAGACGGATGGACGCAGAGGCAGAAGGAAGAAGCGGGGAGACAGATGGCAGGACAGTTAAATAGACGGATAGAAGGATAGATAGATGTAGATGAACGGACGGACAGATGAATATATACAGAAGGACGGATTGATAGATGAATTGGCGGACGGATAGTTATATAGATGGATACACAAGAAAACAGAGTAAGAGAAAGATGAATGGACAGACATATAGATGGACGAACGGATTGACAGACGGAGGGACGGACTGACGTATAGCTAGATAAACAGACCTACCGACAGACGAGCAGATAGACAGTTAGATAGATAAACGGACAGACAGACGGATAAATAGTTAAACCAATCGACAGACTCACGGATTGACGGTCGGACGGGCAGACAGACTGATAAACAGATGAGGACAGATCGACAGACTCACGGATTGACGGACGGACGGACTGGCAGACAGACGGACGAACAGACTTACATACGTTAGATAGATAGATGGACAGGCGTTAGATAAATGGATGGACAGGCGATCAGACGATCATTCTATAACAAGTAAGAACGTTGCAGTCGGGCGTTACCGACTGCGGAATACTCATTCACATCCCATCAACAATTTAGTAGTTAAGTTTCAGTTACAGTTTTTTACTGTAGAATATACAGGTTTTTCCGATTTGCCACGCCCCAACTGGGCGTAGACACCTCATTTTTGGTCAGTTTTTAGAAAGAGATAACGTTACCCTAACTGCAAAGTTTGAATGCTTACCCTAAAAAAATGTGAAAATTACAGGGTATTTTTCGATATGCCACGCCCCTAAAGAGGCGTAAAAATTATTTTTGGGGAATCGATAGAGGAGGCTACCAGTAACTCAACTATCCAAATTTGAAGCTTCTAGCTATTATACTTTAGGAGATATAAACTTTTGCGGTTTGCCACGCCCCCTGTGGGCGGACATATATCCGACAAAACTTTTTGGTCTTGGGTGATCAGTCCGAGTATATATACAAAATTTGAGGTCTCTGCCATCAATAGTGTCCAAAATATAGGAGAATTTAAAAAATCACTATATCTTCAGGTCCGATTTGCCACGCCCCCAACGGGCGTAGACTTATAATTTATCTTCAGACTTTATAGAATCATACCATTAGCTGACGTGCAAAATTTCAGCATTCTAGGTTTACNGGACAGACGGACGGACAGCAAGACGGACATTGCACAAAACCAATATACTGATTCACTTTCGTGAATGAGTATAAAAAGATCAAGGACGTAGTCAGAAAACTGTTCTCTACCTATTGCGCAGCACCGAGTTGATTTCTCAGACAACTGAAATATTATTCCTTCACTTCACATCCGACTGAGCGAGCATTAAGCAGTCAAGTGGACTGAGCTGCACATGTTCTTGTAGGAATTACACTGGCGAACTTTTTACAGCCACAGGGCAATTTTCGTTTGTAAATTCAAAGAGGATTTTTGCCCGCATAACAAACTTAACGCTCAGCCTTGGCTGCTTTTATTGAAGGTAAAGAAAATATATAAACATAAATATGAAAAAATGCAAGTCAAGAGTCTCCATTGGACTCGGATACTGTGGAGCTGCTCTCTGTAAAATGCGACACGTTGAAATCGTCGGCAGCTACCAGCTCTGTGGGGCAAGGAGAGAGAGATTTGTGAGCTGCGGGTGTTATTAGCCACTACCGGCTCTCACCTGAGGCATCTATCGAGCGCCGCATATTGATGGGCAACGCGTCATCGCCGGCGCTGACCCGACGTAGGCCCGCCTTTAGTCGATCATCAGCAGCTGCCGCTGCCAGTTTCATAAACCTGTGTGCGGCTGCCACATGCCACTCGAACTCCACCTGGCGCCGGTGGTCGTTGGTGCTGTGCATGACGGTGCGGTAGATCAGATGCAGCAGCCGACTGCTGTAGCCATTGTCGAAGATGCGATCGTTCTCCTGACTGCCGGCCAGTAGATCGTACGGATACAAGTCCTGTACTCCTGCATCGTTCACCCGGAGCAATGTAGCAGAGTGTAGCCGTATGGGCCAAAGCTTACCCATGTTGCTCTGTATAGCGCCCTCTGCTGCATGGCGTTTTTCTGGCTGCTTTGTCAGCTGATCGTACGACATCTTAATGCAAACGCCCGCTGAAAACAGGAAACCTTTTAGGGTTCCACTCTAAAAGGCTTGCGCTCCACTTACCCCATGCCAAAATCAATAGAAATAGAAAGATCTGCAGACAGAAGCGCCAGTTACACATTTTCGTCTTCAAAATATATTTTGAGCAGAAGTAAATTTAGTTTTGACTTTCGATTTGGTCGAATATTATGTGAAATGATGCTGTGACTGTTTAGGCTCAAACTGGATTTCTCGTATTCCGAATTTGACTTGAATCTGCTTACACTATTGACTAATATATCTAAGCCAACTGAGCTCTATCTACATGGAACGCTCAGAGTGATATCAAAGAGCCTACGCTGATGCATGATGAGGTTGCCAGCTAAGGACTGCCTAGCAAAAGAGGTAGAGAGAGAGAGAGAGCGAGAGAGAGAGAGAGAGAGAGAGAGAGAGAAAGAGGAAGACCAATTTCCCTGCAGTTGCCTGCAATTAGTTAGTTTGTATGGAATTTTGCAACTGCATCGGGAAAGATTTCCTAATTGAGTTCCCTTTTCTTGGAATCACTTGGGACTTTTGCAGCTGCATCGATAGGGATTTCCTAACTGAGTGCCTCTATTTGTTGGAACTGCATCTGCAAGGAGTTCATAATTGAATCCCCATTTATTGCTTAGGAAAATTTTGAAATTGTTGCAACTACATCGATAAGGATTTCCTAATTGAATCCCCATTCATTGTCTAGGAATTTTTTCGGGATTGAATCTCCCATTCACTGCTTTGGAATTATTTGTTACCTTTTCACCTCCATCTTCAGGGATTTTCTTATTGAAGTAGTCATTTACAGCTCGGCAATTATTTGGGACTTTTCCATCTCCATCTTCAAGAGTTTTCTAATGAAATCCCCCATTTATTGTTTTGGAATTCTTTGGGTCTTTTGCAACTGCATCAGGAAAGACTTCCCATGGATTTAACGCAATTTAAATTGAAGAGTTTTCACAGTCGATGCAATATGTATGCGCACCGCGATGCTCCAATAGCCAGCTGAAGCGTGCTGAGCCGCCCGGCTGCCACCGATTTGCCTAGCTTGAGGCACTGTTCGTCCCACTGAGGACATAAGCGCTTGGCCAGCGCATGGCTTGCGGCACGGCCTTTGTGCCACGGCGCGCAGTAACCGTTAACGGGTAACGGGCAACGGGCAACGGATAACGGGCAATCGGCAACCGTTGCTGTGCAAAGAGCTGCAGCATCGCAGCCGGCAGCATTCGCCACGTGCCATAAACGAGTCGGACGCACAATAAGGTGATGCCAGAAAGGTGATGCGGAACACGGTTTGCTGCATCTACTCCGATGGCTCCACGGCTCCAGCGAACACCCTGCTAATCGGCTAATTAAAACCAACAAGCGAGCATTATTCTGTAGACTAACCAATGGCATCCTAACACCCACCCATTCATACCCGCATCCACATCCACGTTGACGTCCAGGTGCATGTGGTGGGTCCGTCCAACTGCAGTTGATAAGCCACACACGCCGGCTGTCAGTCAAAGGTGCAGCTCGCTCGTATTGGACTTTCCATTAGGCAACTTCAAAGCCATCCATTCAGCACAGCTTTATCTATCTGCGGATACCCTGTCTCGGCTATCGCCAAAGGCTGTTGGATGTGGATGACAGATGTCAGACCTGTTGGCTGACAAAAGGCACTCTGGCTGTGGCAGTCTAAGCCAGCGCTTGCTGGCACTGCGATTGCAGGGCATCTGCTGGTCGTGCAGGCCCCATCAATGCTCAGCTTAAGTTTTGGTGTATGCAAATCTGTTTTTCCATTAGCAAACATGCGAGCTTTTGGCTTGTGATTATAAACTGTTGAATCAATCCCTGCTAGCATTAAACTCGACTCCGAGAATCATCTAATCACTTAGACACTACCCAACCACCCCATCACCCACAACCCACTCGTTCACGCTCGGCTCAATGCCATTGGATTCAGAGCACACACACACACACACAAACACATAAATAAAGTCAGAAAGCTTTATGCCATGTACAGTTATGTGAGTGCTATGTCAGAAATGATGATTTATAGTGCTCCACATTGAGTCGCATTTAAAAACGCCTTTGCCTTTGCCTTCGCCTTCCTTTGCCTTTGACTTGCTACAGCGAAACGTTGCCTTTTGTTGACTTGCCCATATTTGTTATTCTTTTCTGTTTCGCTTTCTTTTTGGCTTTCCCTCCCCACTTCCCGCTCCCTTTCTGCACACTGTTGCATGTACAGCATTTTTAAATTGCATGAAAATATCAGCAGGAGTACAAAGGAGGAGTTCAATATATTTAGTATATGATTTGCATGGCATTACGAAGCGTCTAAGACTCAACGGCAATGGGAATTTGGGTTATGTTCAGAAGCAGACGTACTGGATGACATCAAGCATATATAAGCTGTATTTGAGTGATAAGCTGAGTGAGATCAAGCCACATCCGTCTACCCATTCACTGTCTATTCCATTGTCTATTCTTCCCTTCGTCACTCCATCCGTCCATCTGCCGCTCTATAAAGAGTCGATTGATGGGAATAGCAGCAGCTCTAAGGGTATACCCTTTGGATACATCCTAGTCAACCTAGTCCTAGTCCTGACTTGAGCATGTTTCGGGCCAGCACCGCCAAGTTTACCCTATTGATTTCTATTGACCTCCTCTACATATTTAGAGGACTTAGTTTTACGCAAAAAAAAAAAAAGGCTAATATATACCTTCGATCGTTCGCTTTCAGCTGATGGATATAATCACGGTGGGAGCAAGCGTCGCCTGTTCGGCTCGTGCGATGGCCGACGGCATCTCTATTGCATGCGCAGTGCTTCGGTCAAGTCGGTGCGACATCAGCAGCAGCAGCAGCAGCAGCTCAGCGTGTCCGGCGAATGCTGTGGCCGACTGCAGCGAATGACCACAATGAGGCAGCAGCAGCAGCAGCAGCAGCTGTACATGAGCTCAGCCAAGGATGGGGAGAGAAGGAAATCGTTGTCCACGCCCAGCTTGCGCGTCACGGAGGCGACGCTGCGCAGGTGAGTGCCACTGAGAGCCAGAGAGCTACAGCAACTGTCTAAGGTATCGATGCGTTTGCCTGCAGATCGAATGAGAGCAAGAGCTTGGAGAGCAAGAAGCGCGTGGTGAAGATGCTGTTCGTGCTGGTGCTGGAGTTCTTCATCTGCTGGACGCCGCTGTATGTGATCAACACAATGACGATGCTGATTGGGCCCGTGGTGTATGAGTATGTGGACTATACGGCCATCAGCTTCCTGCAGCTGCTCGCCTACTCCTCCAGCTGCTGCAATCCGATTACCTACTGCTTCATGAACGCCAGCTTCCGGCGCGCCTTTGTGGACACCTTCAAGGGCATGCGGCTGTGCAATGGGGGACGCTTTGGATTCTGTCGTCGGCGCTCTAACAACAAGACGAATTTGTCCGTGGCCGGAAATTCGATTGCGCTGGCCAATTCCGTGATGTCTAGCCACACCATACTGGAGAGTCCGCGACTCTGAGGCAGTCGACGTCAGCAGACGTCAATGAAGCTGCGTTCGCTGAGAGATAGAGATAGAGATAGGGATAGGGATAGGGATAGGGATAGGGATAGGGATAGGGATAGAGATAGGGAGAGCGTCAATGTGCGTGTGGGCAATGGCACGAACGAGGGGCTGATGGAAACGGAGTCACTGTAGAGTAGATTAGACCGTTATAAATATGTATGTGATGTGCAAGAAACTGAAACTGTGGTTGTCAACGATTCTACTCCAAGTAAGTTGTGTTTGGTATGGATGAAAGAGATATACATGTATATAGACTATATACTATATGTTGCAATTGGGTTTCAACTCATGAAACTAACTAAAACCTATTTGTATTATTAATCGTATCACTTCAGAGCTGTTGCATTGTCTTTTATTGTAATATCTAATTGTTAAATGTAAATTGTTGGACTTACCCTGGCAGCGTTTCAGTGTTTATACAAATGTCTTTTTTTTTTATATATGTATAAAACATAATTACTATATATATATACGCAATCAAGTGTAAGATTAACCAACAATTTTATCTTTAAAGATTCAAATATATTTGAAAACCAATTTATTCTAGCCGTAAGCAAGATCAAGTCGAACTAGAAATTGCATTTGACAAGTGCGTAAACTGTTTACCTGTAACTTCAAGCTACAAAATCCAATGGCCCACAAAGTATTACGAAATTAAATTAAATATACGTATGAATCAATGTATTTAAACAGAGTGAAAAAAAAAGAAAGACGAAATCTCTTAAGTCTCAAACAGAATATATTCCTTCTGGGGGCGAACCCAAAACCAAACCTTGGCGCGTTTCAAACCGTCCGTCAAAACTATTTGTCAACTTAGGTTAGTATTTCGAGATATTTGTCGTAACTTCCAGACGAATTAATTTACATTTAAGTAGAGCTCGTTCACGTTTCCGTGTGACTCGCACTTAAGATGCAAATTTCGAATGTCGCAAACAATGAATTTCCAAATCAACTAAATAATTGTAGTACCTATACATGCATGCATACGAGTATCAGCATATGTGTACATACATATATGTGTATGAATTATGTCTGCGTGTTAGCGAGTTTCAATATTTTCACTTCTGTACACCTCAACGAACTTACGAAGTGCAAATTCAGTAATTCATATGTAAAATAGCAATAAATGTGTTTTATGAAAATACCAAAGACGAGATTTATTTCAGGGCATACTTTTAGGCTGTGCTCCAATAGGGCGGACAGGCAGGCAGGCAGGCAGGCAGACAGGCCGAACAACATTCATTCGCAGTGAATTAATTCGAGCACTCATGAGCCATGACTGCCTGCCTGCCATTGATTGCCCATTTGAAGTTAATGAGCAGCGACGCGTCGTAGCTCTGCTCAAGTTGCTGTGCGTGTTGGCTGGTTAGTCGCCTGTCCTGGCCATGTTAGTCATGTTGGCCATGTTGGCCATGCTGGCCATGTTGGTCATGCTGTTTGGCTGCTAACGCTGATAGACAAAGGCAACGTCAGTGCCATAAATAATGCCCAGTCGACAGGATGTGTGGCCAGATGCTCTCACAAAGCACATGCTTATGCCAGGAGCTCTGGGTGCTCGAGTGGGTGCGAGCCGAAATCAATTACCGTCTAACCGCATGGGTCTGAGCTCTCTCTCTCTCTCTCTCTCTCTTTTTCTCCCTTCCTCTATCACACATATACACACTCCCTCTCTCTCTCGCTCTCTCACTGCAGTGGCTTTGTGAGTGGTGCTGAAAGGGATAGCTGCCAAATGCTGGCTCATTGATTATGTTGATGGACGATTAGAAATCGAGAGAGATAAGGCGACGTGACAAATCATTTTAATGGAAATGGATTTGTTTTCCATTGCACAACAATGAGAATATGGTTTTCCAATTACTGCTTATTAGACTGAAAGTAACTGCAAATATTTTTGGTATTTTCACGGTAATTACTTAGCAAAAGACATGGCTTGGCTTACTTAAGCTAATGAGAATCGCATAGAGGGAGAGATGTGTGCATGTCTCTGCAAGAGAGCAAGTAAAAGAGCTCTGGCAGCTGGACTTGTGAGTGTATAATACTCACTATAGAACATGGATTTATATGGAACGAACATAACTTCGATTCTAAATGACATTACAAATTTCATTGCGTTTATTGTTTATGGTGCTGAAATATGGATTTGTATCGATAGTATGTATGCAAGTGTGACGATTTATCGATAAGAGTTGATCGATAATTTTGCAAACGGAAATTCCAGGTACTATTCTGTGTTATCTGAGCAGGTATATGTATATGTACATATATCTACAGTAAGAAGCCGTTATTTAACCTATCTGCCACATCCCCATGGCTGTATATAAAAAAAATTTGATTATTTACATTCTTAATGAATGGCTTTGAGAGATTCTTTGATATACCATATAATACATATAGCTAATATAAGTTCCTCCTAGAGCATGGCATATATAGCATATTTTTTCAAGGGATCTATATAAGCTACATATATATGTACATATATTGTATTGTGTATCATAATATGCATAGCTTATATAGATTACCATCAGTTATATGAGGATGTTATGAGAGGCATGGCGTCTATATAATAAAACATAGACACACAGCACACACACACACACGCCCYCAACTCATTAAGTTTTTATGCCCATATATTATTAGATAAACTAAAAACATAAATCAATGAGAATCGCATAGAAGCGATTCGCATGGCCTACTCATTGGCTATGTGCGTCTCTTCTATGCAATTCTCATGAATTGATGTCCTCTACTCACTCGATTGCTCTAGATAGATCCAGATGGAGACATTTCGAGCAGCTTCCGCTCCACTTGATATATAGGCATATGCAATAAACAGATGGGGCCGCGTCGTGCAATATCCTTTGTGGGCGATCATATTTGGGGCACTCGATAAAAGCTGATTGTTTGTTGATGGAAACAGCTAGAAGCGTACCCTTGTGTGTATTTTGTGCTTGTGTTTCGCTGTTTATTAATAGGCCAGGGCCTGCTTGGGGCCATGCTTGGGGCCATGAATGGCAGCTGCCGCTGTCGAATCGTGGTGTATTCCATTAGCACATTCGTCCCTCGATTTGTCACAATTGCAATGGGCCCATTTGCTGCGAGCCCCCGCAATCAGAGCGGAGCGCGCGCGCGCTTCAGCTGACGTCAGCTGGCCAAGTGTCCTTAGCCGTTCCGCCGTGCCGTTGTTGTTGGGCCGGGGCTACGTGACAATTACCACAGTTATTACACGTAATGAGTACAGCCACAGCATGCAAACAAACAGAGGCTGTGCGTGGCACAGAGCGAGGAGCGTGGGGGCGTGGGCGGGGCGAAGACGAAGGCGTACGACGCGACGTCAGTAATGGCTGACAGGGGAATTATCTAGTATTTGTTTTCGCTGCGATACGACGCCCAGCTGCACGCTGATGAAACCTTCTTGGAATTGTAATCAGATCACGGCCAGCAAGCACTTGAAGCACCTGCACTACAGATGCCACGAAAGAGAGGTAGAGAGAGAGAGAGAGGGAGAGAGAGAGAGAGAGAGAGGGAGAGAGAGGGAGAGACGCGTTCAGGAAGATCGCAGTCCTTGGCTCAAAAGCGACCCAGTTTTTGTATTTTCGTTTTTCTTACCTGAGCCAGCTGTGCGAATTCCCAAGCAATTCAAATTCAAATAAACATGCTTAATGCTCCACTTGTATAAATGGCACCCGCCCCGCACCCGCCCCAGCCTCTTCCCCTGCGCCGCACAGCAAGCCGTTCCGGTTGACATTCAAATGGCCCATTCGTTCCGAGCAACTGCATTAACTTATTTATTTATTAAGCATTTATTGCTTGCGGCATGCCCATAGACATAGACAGTCACAGCCTGCCACAATCTCTGTGGCACGCACTCGCCCCCAGCACTCAGGTGACCGGATGCTCTAACGGAAATGTGCTGTGCTCGGGGCTGGAGAGGCTGGAAGTGCTGCACCAGGACTGGGCCTAGAAGTGAACAGTAATTAAAGGGCTGGCCCAAACACACATTTCCATTGCCCAAAACTAAAAGGCAATTATTAATAAATTATACACATTTGTTAACATATATACATACATATATGTATATACATCTAATTTTTTTTACTCATATACCATGCATAATAAACGTGCTGAAAGCAAGAAATGAAAATGAAAAACAAAAAGTTGGCATGACGAAATTTAAATACCCTAATAAACAAGAATGTTGCTTAGTTAGAGAACAAGTTTGTTTGAAATATTGAAAACTTTTACAGCTTTTATTGCTATCGAGTTTTTAGAGCTAGACTCCACAAGTTCCGCATTCAGTATCATTTGGAGTTGATACAGTTTTGCTCTAGTTTTATTATTACTATTTTTACTTTATTTTATTTTTTTTTTATTTTAAAAGTTGACTTTTAAATATAGCCAATGTGTAAAAGACATATCAGAATTACTAAAATTGACAATTTATCATGTAGATCATATGCTGAAAATTTTACTGAAATCGGTTTAGTAATGCAGAAGTTATTCAGGAAATTGCCAAGCAGCGCCGCATTTTCTCTATATATTAGCACATATACATATACATGCTTACCAATAAAAATACAAGAATTCTCCAGTATTCTAGAAAGGCGAGGTTCTCTCTCACAGCTCATGGGAGCATGCTTAACATCCCCGTTTGTTCAAAGGTCAGGGTATCTTCGAGTCAGTCTACGCTTGATTACCTCTTCACCATAGAACTAGACTACTACGGCCGCTCTCATCTGTACGCTTCATAAGAAAAGCCTAATAACATTAGCAGAGTGTATTATGAGCATGACAACCAGAGGTCAGTGTACGCGCGCTCTTATGTAATTGGCAGACTGTAAAGGGAGCAGGGCAAAGGAATGGGGCGGAGCTGAAGCTGAGACTGAAGCTGAGGCTGAGGCTGCGGCTGCGGCTGCGGCTGTTGCTGTTGCTGGGCAGTCGATTACGACATTTACGAATTGAATTCATATATATGTACATACATACATATATACCGTTTTATTTTTGTAGCTATTTTAAGCTTAACAGCCAACTCTTATAAGCGAACAATTACTTGAGTTATTGAAGGCGTTAAGCGAATGCCTAACTGTGCATGCGCCTGTTGCCCATCAAGTATACGCACGGAGGGCTCGTAAGGCAACGGCATGGCGACCTTGACCAGGTTTTTTTTTTTGGTTGATGTTGTTGTAGCTGTTGTTGTTGTTGTTGTGGCTGTGATTTTGTTAATCGTCTTCGATGGCAAACGGCGGCCGCTTGAATCGAGACTTGAGACTTGAGACTTGAAGGCGGATTTGCGCAACGGACGCGCCCTTTTTGCCCAATTATACAATTGCGACGCCGTTACTTGAATTTCGCTGCTCGCTATCCGCCATCCGGCGACTCGACTTCAGTTGAACGGGTTATTCGTATTGTATATTAATTATGCTGT